GTTTGGCTGCTGCATAAATCAGTTTGCTCTGGAGCCGTCCTTCCTGAGCAAAGGCAAAAAGGTGTGAGCTGGAGGCTAAAAAACTGTGAGCTAGCTCACACTAACTCAGCTAAGAGGGAACGCTGGTCAGTGCTTAAGTTCCTAGTTTTTATTTCCCGCCTACATACTGGCTTGATCCTTATGTTTTGAACGTTGATTTTTTTTCCCCAATTGGCAAATTATGTGTTTTAATCTTTATTTGCAAGCATTTGTAAAGGGACAAACGGGGCATAAAAATCTGTAAAGTACAAATAAGTACAAGAGGAGACACTCCCCAAGGCATCACATGTCAGTTCCACGGTCAGATCCGAGCACATTTTTAAAATCCACCCCCCCCCCCATGGGACTGAATGACAAGGCCATATCCAGAAGAGGCAAGCATGGGACTGAATGACAAGGCCATATCCAGAAGAGGCAAGCCTGGGAACAGCCACTTAGCACCCAAAGGATTTCAGAGGCTCCATATGGTGTTGAAGGAATAAGAAAAAGAGGGTATGGGAAGCCCCATGCATCTTTGATGTGAAGGCTTCTTTTGCCTTCATTGTGTCAGGATGCTTAGCTGATTTCAGTGGACGCTGGGTAAAGCTGCTTTCAGGCTTTGGTGAGCGCTGGGCACTGAGGGCCCGGGGGCCCCTATCCTCCCCTCCTCTGCCCTCCACTGTGCTCTCCACTCACACTTGCTTGCCTTCTCCTCCCCCATTCCCAGACCACCCACTTCCACCACCCACTTGTTCATTCCAGTGCTCATAAGAACATAAGAGACACCAATGTTGGGTCAGGCCAAAGGCCCATCCAGTCCAACACTCTGTATCACACAGTGGCCAGAAATACCAGTGCCATCAGGAGGTCCACCAGTGGGGCCAGGTCAAACACCCCTGGCACACTGGGAAGGGGAAAAAATGGAAGCTGTTCAGTTGAAAATACATTACGAAATAAACCTCTCAGCCTTTATTAACAGTAAGAGCTAGATGAAACCTCCACGTGTAGAGGCAGTCTACCTCTGTGTACCACATGCAGAATAAACAGCAGAGGATGGCTGGAGGCAGGATGCTGGGATGGGTGGCCCCAGCTTGTTCCGATCCAACAAATTCAGCACTGTGTTATTTCAAGAATGGGGAGGAAAGCATTAGCAGCAATAGATAGATGGAGCCTACATGTCCGGTAAGCTACCCGTGGAACAAAGAGCAGGGGGGTGCTTTTGCCTCCCTGCCTTGCTTGTGTTCTTCCCATTGGAGTGTCAGGCTGACCCCCTGTTGGAAACAGGAAGCTGGGCTAAGTGGACTCACTTCACTTACAGCTGATTTTCTTAAGCCAGAGTGATGCCGTGTAGCTGAGAGATGCTGCATTGGGGGGGGGGGGGCAAGAAAAAGGGGCCCCCC